CTGGCCCTCCAACCTATGCCCCCTCCCTCTCGCAACAAGTTTTGCTCTGAAACCAGCCGAGCTCACTCAGGATCTTACCTGCCCCAAACACGTCTCCGAGGCCCACTGCTCCGCTCCGCTTCGGGACAGTCCTGCCAACTGACTGGGACCTGTGAGCTCAATGAACTTTGAGCAGGGCTAGCATCTCTCCTTCCCCTCCAGCACACCTTGTTTAGATAGGGCCCAGGGGCTTCTGGGAAGAGGTTATTTAGCCCAGCTCTTATCTGGAATTATTAAGCTGCTTCGGACTGGAGTTAATGCACAGCTGGGTGCCTTTTTTTCCCTTCTGACACCTCTCGGCAGAAGGGAAGCTGCTGCAGATGGGCTTCAGGAAGACACCAGAAGGCTTCGTTTTCTACCTTCAGCCTACATCCACCACCCCCCGAACAAACTATGTGCTTGACAGTCTATAGTAACGACAGCCTGCCAATCCAAATCTGGCTCCTATTTTAAAAAACATCTCCCCCCCCCACCCACCTACTACAGTCCCCAAAACATGAGCAGCAACCCACCCACCCCCCGGACGAAAGCAATGCTGGTGGTGGGGAGAATCACCGTGGAGTCTCAGCACCCTATGCAGTGCTTGGCCTACTCCCGAGGAACCACTTCACATGCCTGAAACTTTGGATCCTGAAATGCAGAGGAGTCCTTCTTGCTCCTCCTTTCCCTCCCGTTTTGCAATCAACCAAAAGCAAGGGGCAAACTCTGACACTTCGACATCCATTTATGCAACCTTGGAAAGAAGAACTAAAGAAGCCACCGGGTTGCCCGTTGCAGTTAAACTTTGCTCACAGCCTCCACTTCTGTAATGAAGGAGGAAGACTCCTGAGAAAGAAAAAGAGAACAAGGGATGGGGGGGGGAAATAGTGGGGAGGGGGAAGGAAAGGGAAAAGGGAAGGAAAAAAAGAGACGGAAAATTCCCTTCTCTCTCAAGGGGTGGGTGGGAAGGTTCCTCCCTTCTCTGCTCATCTTTGCCCCAAGTCTTTTCTTGATAGCATTTCAACAAGAGTTGTCGCTAACCCACAAAGCACAGGATGGAAATGTTTGGTGGCCCGGCTCATGAAATGCACTTTTCCAAGAGCAGGAAGAGGGCTTCAGGGAGGAGGAGGAGGAGGAAGACATCTTGAAGCCCAGAGTCTCAGGCTTTCCTGCACAGCTGGAGCGAGTGATGAAGGGGCCGCCATTTCCAAAGCTGGAGCGAGGCGGCAGCTGCGTACTCTCCCTCTAGCGACCAAAAACCAGAAATGCATCAGGGCGACAGACAAGACAGAGGAGACAGGGGGCCAGATGAAAAAGGCTTAAAATCCCTTTTAATAATGCATTCCTGTAACAATCTTCAGACAAACTCAACCTGTTAGTGGAGGATTACAGCTCGGATTCACACATAAAGAAAAGTCTCATACTTCTACACAAGACAGGCAAAGTTAGGGTTATACAAACAAGGGATTCAACTCGGTCCCCCAACAGGAAACAGTTGTTTGTTTTCTTCTGTCCAATAGATTGTACTTTTTTTTCTACCAGTAAAAAATAAAGAATGGTACAACACATTGAGTACTTCTTCCCCAAATCACCAGCACCACCACTACCCAGCCTTCCAGCAAATAAAAAAATGGTCCAGATGAGAAAAGTAAAAAGCTACACTTTTTAAAAACCTATCCCCCCTCCCTTCCCCCTACATAAGCCGTTTGAAGCTACTGACATATAAAGACCCACAGGCCCCACCCCGATCCTCTGGAGGGTGGGTGGGGGGCGGAATCAGCAGCTGGGGGGGTTTGAACCCATCCTGAGGTGCCTGGGAACGGGAGAGACGGCAGGTCCTAACCTGGCCTCACACACACACACTACACAGCTACTGAAGCCTTCTGGGATCTGTTTTCACATTGCGCTTTGCAGGAATGCACCTTGTGGGGGGAGGTTCATCTACACTCTTGGTGACTCCGGTTGGGGACCCATTGCCAGGACCAAGACCTCTGGAGCCCAGGAATGAACGGCAGGTCTCTCGAGGTCACGGCCAGGGAACAGGACAGGCCCCCCCTCCCCCCCCGTTTAGTATCTGCGACGCTTGTTAGGGCCAAAATCCCCCCCAGGAGCTCCTCGGTTGAAGGTGGGTGCGCTTCCGCCCATGGTGGCAAGTCCTTCCATTGCAGTCGTCTGGCCAAAGCGATCCGCGGGTGGCGGTGGTGTCTGGCAGAGAAGGGAGGGGAGTTAGGAACATTACTACACCCCCCTTCCACCCCCTACACCTACATATATATACACACACACACACCCCTACACACACAAAACAAGCCACCAGTTCTTCCCCACTTGGCAGGGTCAGTACCAGAGGAAGAACCTCAAAGCCAGGACCGGGAGGGCGAGCTTCCCTCTCAAATGGCATTGAGAGGCTCTCCTATATGCCACGTCTTGGGCCTCCGTGAAGACACGATGGGAAATTCAGCTCAGCTGTCTTTGTCCACATAACCAACAAGCCACAGTCATCCTGGGAAGAGGCACAAACCCTCTGAATTGTGCCCCTTCACTTGTCTGCTTGAGCCGTTTTGATTTGTGTGCCTCCATGGCTGGCCAATGCAAATGCCTATATGAAGAGAGTGGCCCGCCCACCCACCCAGGAACTTAGGGCAAGAGGGCATCCAAACCCACCCACTTCTGGAGAAGGTCTGCGCCCTGTGGACCTTACCATTCCCATGGCTCCATCAGGAATCATTGGCCCTGGGCCAGCGGCCGGGGGAGGACCAGCTGGAACAGCGGTAGTTCCCATGCTTGCTCTATTGTTCATGCCTATGGCCCCTGGAAGACAAGACAGACGGAGGATTGCTAGCGGGCAGCACACCGGAAGGTGGCCAGGACAGCTCACAAGAGCACCAGCCAATGACTCAAGAGTCAGATCCTCCAGGTAGAGGGTTTGGCCCGGATCCTCAGGAGCAAGCCCACCCACACAGCAAGGCGGGCTGTTGACCAGGGCTTTGTCGTTTGCCCCCCCCGCCCCTTAATTCTTCCAAAGCACATGGAGTGGGAATTCCTCTGTCCACCCCACCCCCACCTCTGGGTAAATCCACTTACCTCCCATGCTCATTTGTCCCATGCGCATATCTGGAGGCTCCCGCTGAAAGAAAACACAGAGACACCTGCTCCAGACAACCTGACACACCTTCCTCCCAGAGGAGCAAAAAAGCACCCCTGTCCCACACATCTAAGCCCCTGAGAGGGGCTAGCAAGGCGGGCAACAGCTGGCCACCTGACCCCTACCGCATCAGGAAAGGCCCCTTTAAATCCTTCCTGGCGCCTCATCATCTCCTCCTGCTGCCTCCTCATTTCTTCTTCACGGCGCCTGCGCTCCTCCTCTTGTCTGGAAAAAAGTATCAGCAAGAGGAGAACCATGAGAAAAGGCAGCTCCCTCTTAGCTTCTCTGCTCTCAGAAGGACAACCACGGGGACGGCGGACAGCTCCTACGCAGAGATATATACCCAAGGCAGTGATTCTGGCACAGACCTCACAGGTTGAAAGAGGGAAACCCTTGCTTCAAGTGGATCTACACAGGACCAAAGATAGAACAGGCCACAGGAGAGGGCATAGTGTTAAGCGCCTGCTTAGCATTCACGACCTGAAAAGGCTGGCACCAATCACAGGCACTGAAAGCAAACATGTCTCAGAGGCTCAGCCCCATTCCTTAGTCCAGGACTGGGAACACTGCCCTTCAGCAGTCTAGAACATCCCCTCTGTCAACTGCAAAGCACACCCAGCCACTGACCATTTGATAAGACGGATTTGGTTTGATTTGTATACTGCCCATCTGGCTACCAAGGCCACTCAGGGCGGTTCACAACAGAAAATAAAACCATGAACAGCAACAACAACTGCGGAGATGATAAGGGGCCACCTCAGCAGCAGGCCAAACGTATGAAATGCGAAAGCTTCCCTGCCCTTGCCTCAGCCAGCAGCCAAGCCCGGAACCGATCCTGCATGAAGCAGCTGCAAGGCGTCTAGCCATGAATGCGATGTAAGCAACAAGCCTTCTCAGCCCAGCCGTGAGAAGAATCCTGCGGTCAATGAGTACACGCTATTTCCGTTTCCATCAGGAAAGGCTTCTTTCACTCCTTGCTTACCTGAGTTCCAGCTGCTTGCGCTTCTGCACCTCCTGGTTATGCAGTTCCTCCATTCTCCTCAGTTCTTCCTGGCGTCTCATCAAGTCTGGGGGGGGGGGGAAGCAGCCACAGAAGTTAACCTTAAAATCCCAGTGCTACTTGCTCCATGCAAACCTCCCAGCGCACATGTCACCAAGAGCCAGCCAGCCATGTCTCCCAGGTGGGATCCCCATTCTCACCCTGACGCATCAGCATCACTTGATGCTCGTGACGAGCTGCCTCCATCTCCATCTCCAGCTTCTCCCGCGCCTCTTTGATGTTGCGGTCCACCTGCTCCTGCTGCTGCTTCTCCATCTCGATCAGAGCCTTCCAGCGCATGGCATACTCGTATTCAAAGGAACCAGGCTGTGCAAAACGGGGAGGCTGCTCACGCTCCCTGGAGGGGGGGGAGGGAAGAGAGGCCAGTCACTGGCAGGAGACCACCACTAAGGGGGAATGTCACAAGACCAGGAGAAAAGGAGCCAAGCAAGTGGCCTGATTCCTTGACAATGCCAAAAAGGAAACAGATAAAGGGAATAAAACACAGCTCATGCTTGAATCTGACTGTCCCCCATTTTCAGTTCTCAAAGGTTACATTTTTTAAATACAGTGGTGCCCCATTTAGCAACAATAATTCGTGCAGCAAAAATCGCTGCAAAGAGATTTCGTCGCTATGCAGAAATAAAAAGCTCATAGGAGTGCATTAAAAGCCATTTAATGCGTTCCTATGGGCAAAAAACTCACTTTTAAGTGAAAATCCTCCATACATCATTTTTGCTGCGCGTTAAGCGAGGAATCCGGGCAAAAACACAGCGGGCGGCCATTTTATTTACCCGGCGGCCATTTTGGAACCGCTGATCAGCTGTTGGAAAATCATCGCTATGCGATGATCGGTATGCGAAACAGGGTACCAATCATCGCAAAGCGATATTTTCCTATCTAAACCATCACAATGCGATCGCAAAAATTCGTGGCTATGCAGATTTGTCGTTAACGAGGCGCCCGTTAAGCGAGGCACCACTGTAACAGGTTCCAAGCTAGCATGTGCCCTGACCGAAGCTACACTCAGAAAACAACCAATAGAAAGATAGAAGGTTCAAAACTTTCCTTCCCATTGAAAAGTCATCACCCTTTGTCCTCCGCGCTCAGCACTTACTTGTGATATTGCTGGTTTTTGATTACCAGTTTTTCAGGCAGCCCCTCCTCATCATCATACTGATCCATGGGCTCCACCGTCACAGGCCGAGGGAACCTGGCAGAGAAAACCAAGCACAAGCCTTTGACCTTGTCCACCCAGATGAATGCAAATGTCGGGGAAGTCTTTTTTTAAGGTCTGAGAGTCAGCAACGAGCTTCGAGCAGACTGTCAGGCATGAAGAAGGCTCTCTTTACCTACAACTATGAAAATTCTGGCTGGCGGTGGCTACCGCTGTCACTGCAAGCCAAAAAGGCACTCAGAAGTCAAGAAAATGAAGGAGCTGGGGGAAGGTCCTGAAATCAGACTACGGCCACTCCTTTGTGCTGAAGAGGGTGGTTGCCCCACTCCATCAGCCCTGACAGCCTCAGGCCCAATCTCGGCCAGGCTCAGGCAAGCGATCTGCAATCTGAGCAAGCGACCCAGCCGAACCGGCAAGGCTTCAAGAGGGTTGCAGTCCTTCTGAAGGGCCCTCCGCCCAAGAAACGCACAGAGTCCCAGAAGTACAGCCACGGCACCCATTTCCAACGACCTCCGCACTGTTCGCCATAAGAATGACAACTCACCATCAGCAACAAGCAAAAGGGCAACACTCCTTTACTTAGCTCTGTGGACACAGGTAGAGAACATTGCCCGAGAGTCACCACCTCTGAACAAAGGCCCCCTGCACTGCCCCCACCTGTCCTCTGCCCCAGGCCGTACAAGCCCCCCAAAACGAGAACCCTGCCCTGGGACTCACGTAGTTAGCAAGAACGATCCCTCGCTGCATCGGTCAAGGGCTTTCCTGGCTGCCGGCTTGCCGGAAAATTCCACAATACCTTTCCCGGAGGGCCTGCCTCGGTCATCCACGATGACCACAGCCCTCTCCACCTGGCCAAACATCGAAAAGGCCTCCTCCAGGAGCTCATTGGACACAAACTGTGGCAGGTTCCTGACTGTGAGGGAGGCACTGTGGCAGGCAAAGCGCACTCTCAGCTGCTTTCCGCGCAGGGGCATGTTGTCCAGCTCCACCTTGGCAATCTCTGCCAGAGTCCGAGTTTCCTGGAGAGGGAAAACCATGTTCAAGCCCCCCCATGCCACTATAACAAGCCACTGAGGAAAAATCAAAATCAGAATGAAATGGGTTGCTGGACTCCCCAGGTATGCGTTTCGCGTTTAAACTATTCCAAAGAAACCTTTGGTTTTATTCAAAACACAATTTTATTGCTGGAACAGCCAGCAAACTGAAACTCCTTTCACCTACTCAGTTTCTGAGAGTGGAGTGCTGTCTCGAAAAATTTCTTGCACCTTAGTCAAATAAAAATGCACCACGGTGACGCTGATGGTTTTCTCTCCCTTGACAGACCCTTGAGACACAAAAGAAATTTACAGCTCAATGCAGAGCTTGGCCAGCTTCTTCGTCCTGCCTGACGCCCTAAACCTGCTCCTAGAGTATAGCAGAGAAAACTCATCTAGTCCAAATGCCCAGAAGTCTCAAGCACCTGCCCAATTATTCTCCCCTGGAGAGCCTTTCTTCTTCCTAGCTATTCAGGATAAGCAGCGGTTTGGTATGAGACAAATCCAGCTGGAAGCTACAGATGGGGACTCTAGAGCTAATGGCTACCGAGGAACTGGCTGGCCTAACTGCTTATGCCTGCAGGCCATAAAGGCCACCACACTGTCCTGGAAAAAAATGTCCTGCCTCCTGTTTGTGAATGCCAGGAGGCCTGTCAGCCATAAATTCTTGCACCAGACACCACCACCCAAAGCTTCCATTCAGAGGGGCAATGTGGGCACTCTTTAGACTTTCTAATTCATTGCAGACACATTTGATTTTGAAGCAGAAAGTGGCAAATATGCCTTTTACAGGACTTGTGCCCTATAAAGCCAACCTGGCCACCCAAATCCATGTAACAGATTATTGTGACGAGCAGGAACGCCTTCTCCAAAGCAATGCAAGGGCTGCGCATACCAAGAGCCACTCACCAGCCTGATAAAGCCAAATCCTTTGTCCTTGTGAATGAAAACTTCACCAGCCTTCCCATATTTTTCAAACAGTTTCCTCATCTCCTCTTCTGTGATGTCAGGGGGCAGGTTCCCCACAAAGAGGCGACTCCTCTGGGTGAAGGTCTTTTCACCAGGTTTTCGGAAATTCTTCAGGTCAATCGTCAAGCCTTCATCTGAGGGGAATAAGGTACAGAATCGCTCTACAAAATTGGGAAAACAAATGCCAAGTGTTAACAAAATCTGAGGGGTCTGAACATTAGCCTCCCATCATATCCAACTGCCAAAATATCTCACCTTCAGGGCAGCACAGCAAGAAAGCTATGAAAAGCTGTACGACACTAAAGTAGCACCACACATGCACCCACAGCCAGAGAGATCTGCATGGCAGCCTTTGCTCTGCACAGATTGGAAATGTTATCCATAGATTAAGGACGAAAAAGCCAGAGCCTTAGAACTGGATGGGTGGATCCAACTCAACCAAGATTTGGCAGCACTTACATGGCAGTGCTGGTGGAGGAACATATCACCACATCACAGCAGGTAAGGCAAGCAGCTTTGTGACAGACAGCCTGCAAATTCAGAGTTCTGAGCAGCAATGCAAGCAGAGGGGAGCCATTTGCGCCACATCATCCAGGGTCTTAAAACTGACCAAAATCTAAGATCAACATCCATCTTGCTGGGTGTTTTAAGAACGTTTTGTATGGCTGCGACGGAGAATAGGATTAGATATTTAGACATTAGAAAATAAAGAAAGGTACAACCACACCCAAATGAAAATGAAAAGCAAAAGCATTGATTAAGCACCCAACAAAGTTAGAAAGCAAAGCCAGAAACCTGCAATGCCAGACGCAGAAGCACCAGTAAACTATACTGCACATCCCAAATATTCATCACATTTTACCTACACTTTACATCCACAAAAAGCTGAATTCCTCACGATTAAAACAGGCAACGTGCTTACACAACAACATTACTATAATGTCGTTCCGTGCGTCTCAAATAGTAACAACCACTTCTTTCACAAGTTTATCACAAAAAGCATTTTTACACTTTCTGTGCAGAGGGAAAAGAATGCAAGCCATTTGTAGGGGCTCACGATGAAAGCAAAACATGATAGTGATTTTAGCAATAAGTCTATACCGGGGTATAAGTTGCCGAAAAATCCCCAGCAAAACAAAAGGGGACATTGCCTCCCATTGTGGATTTGACTGGCCTGACTTCTGGAGCTTTGAACTCAAGACCCTTCGTCCACATTGTAATTCAATCACAGAAGTGACCTCAAAGAACAAGCTGCAATGCCCTAGATTATCTGCACTGAATCCCACTGTGCACTTCTAGTCCTCTCCAAATACGCAAGGCTTGTCTGGGGTTTTGCTTCACTGGACCCCCCCACCCCTGCTAGCATGTCAGTTACACTGTTTGAAACTGACAAGAGAGCTGCAAGGGCCAAGCCATATTTGTTTTCTGGTTTGTGTACAAACATGCTAGGAAAACACAACTAACTGCAATTCCCCATTAAGTGCAAACCAAGCAAACAAAAATGGTGCTGCAAAATTTCCCCTGGCTCGCAGGCTGCACTTCTTGCGTGTCCCTGCTGCTTAAGAAATGCAAAGCAGCCACCCTGAGCAAGAGCAGGACATGGGTGGCTGGCCCCGGCCATAAGGGTCAGCCGACCTGCCCCGACCTTGCCCAGGAGAGGGCCCTTGCAAGAAGGGAAGTGGCCACTCACTTTGGCTGTTGGCCTGCTGACCGTTGGCTGGGCTGGCCTGCTGCTGCTGCTGCTGTTGGTGTTGTTGATAAAGTTGTTGCTGCTGATGGTGCTGCTGCTGCTGCTTCCTGGGAGTGTGGTTCTGCTTGTCCATCGCGAAGCCCTTGCTGCCCTGCATCTTTCCACCTGGGGATGGGAGGGGGGGACCAGAGAGAGAGAAAGGGGTCGGCAGGAGGAGGAGGAGGAAAAGGCCAGGATCCAGGATCACCCCCCTCCCTCCAGATCCCTTTCCACCCCCATCCTGTCTGGGCCCTCCGGGAGCCTCGACGCGCCGGGAGGCTGGCGGCGGCCGCGGGGGGGGGCGGCGGCGGGTGAGGGTGGAAAGGAAAGGCCGGCACGGGCTGCCGCCTCGACCGGGGACAGCGGAGCCTGGAGAGGAAGAGGAAGAGGCGGCGGCG